AAAAAAAAAATATTCTAAAGGTTAATAATAATTAAATAATCATACAAATCGCATACAAAGTAATAAAAAATAAGACAAACAATGACGGGACGTTAAAATAACCATAAGATTATAATAATTTACGCCCCCATTTTTAATTTTTTTTTTTTTAACCTTTAAAATTTTATGTTAAAAGTAAAAAAACCAAAAAAAAAAAAAAAAAAGAAAATTAATTTACTTTCGAATATTTTTTTTTTTTTTTTTTTTTTGTAAAAGTAATGAAAAAATTATAAATATATATATAAATGTCTTTTTCTCATAATTAGACATAACAAACAAACAAACAAACGAACAAACAAACAACCAAAAAATAAAAGTTAATTTTTTTTTCTTTCTTTCTTTCTTACATTTTCTTTTACTACGAAACAAACGAAACATTTTCTTGTGTTGTTATTGTTTTCTCTTTCTTGTCTTGTCTTTTAATTTTTACTAATACTTTTTTACATTTATTTATATTATTACGTAATTTTTTTTTTTTTTTTTTTTACCAACAAATAATAAAAATTGTATAAAAATTTTTTTTTAGTCTCGATTTTGAATGTTTGTTTAACAAAAAAAAAAAAAAAAAACAAGTAAATTAAGGTCGTAAAACAATTTTATTTATTTTTTTTTGTTTAAACAAACAAACTCGTAGATTAATAATAATAATAATAACTATCGAATAAGATGATTTCGGAAAAACTTACCATAATTATTGTGACGTCATAGCTTATAACGAGACAAAACCTATTCATCCGGCATGCAGCAGCATCCCTGTGTTATTCCTTAGGGATCGGCGGGGGGGGGGAGGTAAAAACCTGGAAAATAAATTTAGAAAAAGCTTCGTAAAAACCTTATGACGAATTCTCGTGATTACGAATGAAAATAATAATATTAATAATAAATTATTTATTTAAAAAATTTCTGTGATTTTTTTTGGCGCGAATTTTGATTTTGATACGTTTCTAAAAAGAAAATTTAAAAAATAAGTAAAAAAAAAAATCGGGAAATCTTCCCCCCCCATCTCTTTTCCACTCGGATTTTAAATGACGTGTCACGAGAATAACCAATTTCCGATCCTACGCGTATGATAAAAAAAATTATTTCCATTGTTTGTAAAATAAAAAATCCTCCTACTTGGTTTAAAAAAAAAAAAAAAAATAGTTGTGACGGTGATGATGACGATAAGTTATAGATAAACCACGTGAAAATTACGACACGACACGTGGAATTAGATCGTACGAAGATTGTTATGAAAATCCGTTAGAAATAAACAAAAAAAAATGTAAAGGGATAATAAATATTCGAAAGGTAAATCTATGAAAAAAAAAAATTACTTACACTCCTTAAAAAAAAAAAAAAAGTTAAAAGTAAGAATTATTATTATCATTTCTCTTAATGTTACTGGTACATAAACATTTGTTTTGTTTTGTTTTTTTTTAATGTCGTAGAAAAAGAAAATAATAATAATAATAAAAATTACTTTGCCACTTTCACCGGTTGAAAAGATACAAAAAAAAAAAAAAGAAAAAAGAGAAAAAAAAACAAAAACAAATTTTTTCTTTTTCTTACCTTATTAATCGTCAAAGGAAAAAAGGTTTGAATTCTTTCCATTTAAATTTTTTCCTTTGATTTCCCAATTTCCATTTACGAATAAAGTAATAAAATTTTCAAAAGACTCCCTCTGAAAAAATAAAAAATAAAAATTACCTTTTATTACCGTCGGGTAATAAAATTATTTATAATAATTTTTAAAACGACGACAACCGCCTACGCCACCACCACCACCACCAACGTGACATTTTCAATAATTTTATATTACTATTATTAATTTTAAATAATTTTCATATTAATTTCAATAATATAAAACTTACTAAAATACCACCGTAATTATTATTATTATTATTATTACTATTGATGCGCCATTAATTTTGGAAAGTAAAAAAAAAAATAATTGAAATCGTGATTAATGATAAATTACGGAAAATATTTTGTAAAATTTTCCTTTTTGAATAAAAAAAAAAAAAATTATTTATTTATTTAAATAAATATATGTACATAAAAAAAAAAAAAATTACCCGGACGTAATTACAATTGGTAATTAATTACTTATTGAAAAAATAATAATTTCTTTTTTTTTTTTTACGGTAATTAATTTGTTTATAATTATTATTATTATAAAAACGAAATTATTATTTTTTTTTCCTTTGTAAAAATGAAAAAAATAGTCGAATTAATAAAAATGATTTGCGGTATTGATAATAATAATATTATAATTATTATTAAAAATATTACGTAATATTATTACCGTTTAAATTATATAAAAAATAAATAAAAATTTATTATTACGGTATCGCGTGTGTTACATCCGTAGAATCAAATTCGATTCGATATACGATTAAAAATAATTTTTGTGAAAAAACAACAAACAACAAACAACAACGACAAACAAACTTTCTTCTGAACGATATTTAAAAACTTTTTATTTGAATTAATTATTATATATTTTATTTTTAATAAACGAGTAAGTGTGTGAGACTCACCGCCATTTTGTTTTAATTTTCACTTCAGTGTTTATAGTTCCCAAGACTTCCACGATGACCGGAATCGTTTCCGTTTTTAATTCCATTCACATTTTAACAATTTCCGTTTCCGATTTTCCACATCTTACCCCCACCACTACGGATACATTTAGTCATTTTATGATGACGGGTGGGGGGGTGGGTATTCAATTTGTTATCCGGTACGGTTATCTAGTACAGAACAAAAAAATTATTCATTTATTCATTCACCGAATAATAATTAATAATAATTTTATTTAAAAAAATCATTTTTTTTAAAACGGTTTTTAAACTCTCCATTGTTTAGTCGTGTATGTAATTTAGTATATTAGTAATAACTAAAATTTAAATTATCATTTATCACCCATTTAACAAAAAAAAAAACTATTCGACTAATGAAAATTAACTAATTTAATAATTTTTTCTAAAAAATCTAATTAACCAACCGTCTGTCAAGGAAAAAAAAAAAAAAAAAATTTGCAAATTCAACGAAATTAAAGAGAGAGAGAGAGAGACCTAAAAATATGCTCACGCGCACACACACACACAATATTCACTGTTATATTATCATTATTATTATTAATTAAAGTGAAACTTTAAATATTTTTCTCTTGTTCTCAAGACCTTGTTGTTGTTGTTGTAGAAAGAGTTCATAAAAGTTTATTTAAATATTTTTAAGATCATGAAACGGTACGGTGACAGGTAATTATTATTATTATTATTATCATTATCATCATTATTATTTTTTTTGTTCATTTACTAAAAATGAACAAGGACGGAAAATATTTTAAGAATTTGAAAGTTTTTTTTTTTTTTGGCTTTTTTCTTCCCCCTATCCCCCCGCCTCCCTTCTTTGTCTTTTATTTAATTATTGCTATTATTTATGTTTTGTTTAAAATGATTATGTAAATTCTACTACTGATAATAATAATAATACTTACAATGAATATTAATAATAATAATAATAGCTAAGTAATTAACTTGTTAAAAAAAAAAAAAAATAATTCGAAACGTTTAAAAAATAAGACGAAATAAGTAAAACGAAAAAAATTTTTTTTTTTTTTAAACAAAAGGCAAAGGCCAGGGATTATAATAACAAAATGACGATAATCAAATAATAATAATAATAATAATAATAATAATAATAATAATAATAATAATAATAATAATAATAATAATAATAAAATTAACGTCTGTTCGTTCAAGGCGATGAAAATTAATTATTATTAAATTATTTAAGTGGAATGTAAAAATAATTTTTACCTTTTTGTAAAATTTCATTTTGCGCAAAACGAATTGCGCGACATTTTCATTGAGATTTTCTTTAAAAACCATAATAATAATAATAATAATTATTATTATTGTTAAATGAAATCTCGAAGTTCATTTCATTCCTTCCTAAAATCATAAAAAAATCGTATTAAATATTTTATTCGTAACTTGCAAATTTTTTTTTTTTTCTTTAAAATTTTTTATTGTTGTATTTGGATTTATGTAAATAATAATAATAAATTATTACTTAATAAAAATAAATAAATAAATAAATAAATAAAAAATTTAAAGTGATACGGATTTTCGAACAAATGTGTCAATTACGTAACAAACAACAATAAATACGCACTAATAGTTTTTTCTATTTTGTTTTCAAAAAAAAAAAAAAATTTATATCGAAGAATAGGAAAATGATTTCGATTGCAAATTTTCTTGCGATAGGGGGGTCACCAACAAACATAAAACAAACAAAACAAACAAATAAACGAATGTGTTAATTTATAACTTGTTTTTTTTTTTTTTTGGCCATCCGATTGTGTTTGCAGTTCAAGAATGAAAAAAAAAAACCTTCAAAAAATTATAATTTAATTTTTTTTTATGTAATAATATTATTTACGAGGAAGAATTTTATAAAATAATAATAATAATATAAAAAAAAAACCAGTTGGCGACAATAATAAAAGACCAAAAAAAATTGATTGAAAAATTGTCAAAGATGACAAAGAGGTCATGGATAAAATACCATCAATATAAATAAATAAAGAATAAATAAATAAAAAAATTACTTTCACTTGATTTTTTTTCATCCTTGTCTACTACATATTTCTTTCTTTTTTTATACAAAAAATGCATGCAAAGTGCGACGATCTCTGATTTCATGTACCCTAAAAATAATATATATATAAAATTAAATTAAATGAAAATGATGTAAATTCATTAATGTTAAGGTGTACTCGATATTTTTGTAAATGAATATTTAAATCTCTGTTTTAAAAATTTTAAATTAATTATTATATTTTTATTATTATAATATTAATATTAATAAAAAATAAACTACATTTTTTCTTTATAAAACCTAACATAAAAAAAACAAAAATCATAATGAGTTAAAATAAACTTTTACCTTTTTATCGATAACAGTAATAAAGATCATAATTTTTCAACTTTATAAACTCCTGCATTTGGAAATCCATTATGTTCGATATTTTGAAAATGATATTCAGTTAATTTGGTAAGTTTGCATTTTAAGTTGATTTCATTTATCACATTCAAACCATGTCTACCGGGATCTCCAATCAAAATTGTTTTACCCTTTTCAATTAAATCAATGAACCAGAGAAATAATTTAGATGATATGTCACTGTCGTAAAACAAGTCTCCAATCAATATGATATCCCATTTAACATGTTTTCCATACATTTCCTCAATCAAATTTAACTTGTCGATTTCTTTACCTATTAAATCTTTGTTCGAAGTGAACAATTCAACATTGTTAAGTTTTGAATTGATATTTATGGCAGCTAAACTAACAATATCAATATCATTGGCTAAAACAAATTCAGCACCTGATTTAACGGCAGCTATTGCTGATGCTCCACAACCAGAACCAACATCTATAATATTTTTATCTTTTATTAAATTTTTATTATCTAACACAAACCTAAAAATTAATTATAAAATAGCAAATAAAATTGATTTACAATAATTGAATAAAAGGACAGTATTTTTAAAATAAAAACGTTGTAAATAAATTTAATAAAAGAGAAATACTATTGTATCTAATAAAGATAAAATTAAAAACTAATGGAATAACCTTGTTAAGGCTTGTCCTCCAGGCCAATAAATTCCCCAAAATGGATCATCAGGAAATTTCGATTCTTTTGGATTTGCATGCCACAACGAACATTCAGGTGTAATCAATCTTAATTTTATTTCTGGAGTCAAATGATCCGTCGTTAAAACTGTATTTTTATATATCAACTCGTCGTAACAAGTATTTTTGAAACGATAATGAAATTTATAAATGTTTTCTTTCCATTTGTAATAATTACGATGTGTTCTTCCTAAAAACTTATTTAAAAACATAATTTGTTAATTACGCCTATCAACCTCATTTAATATCTATTTAAATAAAATTAAATTTCATATTTAAAATGATGGTTCTACTCTTCAAAATTTTTACGCCATTCCGAAAAAGTTCAAATGTATTGCCAACTTTAAAAAACAGTTGGCAAACATAAGTTATTAAAAAAAATAAAAATGGCGTCATTCTAACAGTTTTTCTACAATGTTTAACAATTGATAAATTACTGTAAGAAAGAAAAAAAAATTATTAAAAAATAATTTCTGACGTAATTTTATTTATTTATCATTATATCACATTATTATATTTTTAAAGTACTTCATTAAAATTATGTATGTATATTTAAATATATACACATTTTTTTTTTTAATCAACAAATTTAAAAAAAAAAATTATTATTATTTTCCCTAAGCATTAACGAATTTTTGTTTTTTACAAAAAAAAAAAGCATCGAAAATTGATAACTAAATAATAATATTATTTAAAAAAAAAAAAATTAATTAATTTACATTATTACCACCATTTATTTGTTCTAGATTTTTTTTTCTTATTCCCCTTATTTATTAATATTATTTATTTTTTTATAATGATGACAAAATAATCTTTTGGAGAGAAAGATAAAGAGAAAGATAGAGTAAAAGAGAGAGAAAGAGAGAAGACAATGTTTATTTACAACATTATCAAAAAAAAAATGTAAGTTTAAAAAATAAAAAAAAAAAAAAATAAATAATGTGACAATTTACATTTTCTACAATTTAACAAATGAAAAAAGGGAGTTTTCCCTTAGTACTATTACTATTATATTTATTTTTATTATCATCATCATCATCATTATTATTATTTAATCCCTTTCACGTATCATTTATTTATTTTTTTTGTGATTTTAACACTTTTTCAAATGAGCACATGTTATTTTTTTGTAAATAATATAAACACATCACAAGGCGATCGTGATCTGAGCTTTACGTTCTTTTCCCTTTTTCTTATTTTTTTTTTTTTACAAATTAGCACACACTTTAAAAAAGAAAAAAAAATTTTTTTTTTTTTTACAAATAAAAGTTATAAATAGGAATGCTGTTGACGCGAATATAAATAACCTGTTGACCGATACTGTGACTGCTTTGCGATATGTTTCTGTTTCTGTTTTTCCCTTCAATGACTTTTTCCTTCTTATCCCCTTTTGTAAATTTATTTATTTATTTATTTTTTTTGTTTCCAGGTGCAATTAACTCCGTACGAAATCACAGGCGTTTTCTTCTAATCATTGTTCTCTTACCGACGTGATGTAACTTGAATCTTCTTGCCTACTCGAAAGTGGTGTTTTATAACGCCAATCCCCCTCTGATTTTTCATAGAATAACTGCGGAAAAAATTTAAAATAAACAAACATTAAAATTAAAGACATAAAGTTTTTCTTTCTCTGGAGACTCTCTCTTTCTCTCTCTCTCTCACTTTGGTTTCCCAAGACGTTCCAGTATCTCTTCTTTTTTTCGCTTCGTCTCTTTGCTTTTGTTCCAACATCGTTTTTGCCATTGTCGCTTTGTCGATGTCGTTCAGTCTTAAACCAGCGGTCACATCTTTCCATAAATTTCTCGATTCGTTTTCTTTTTGTTCGAAAACGCTTTGCACGATTTTTTTCGTCACCGGCGTTTTTAACACGTCAACGAAAACTTCGACTCTCTATAATGGAAGAGAAGGAGAAAAAGACACAATCAAAATTTTTTTTCCCCCACCCTTTTTTTTAAAAGGAAATCGTTCGGATAAAAATCTCACCCCCGTTTCAGCATTTTTCGATTCCATGACACCGTTCCATTCTCCCGATATCGTTATGAATGGTTTCTTTTCCGACGGACCGTATATTTCTCCAGTGATCCTATGTTTTTTCCCACCGTAAAAAGGCTTCGTGTGAAATTCAATGTTTGCGTTGTATCCGGATTTTTTACATGATATCGTCACGGTACCACCGAGTTCGATCCAGGGAGTTGTGAGTATGGACCTGATATGACCGATGAAAACGATACACAAAAAATAATAATAATGAATGAATGAATGACTTTGACATTTTAAAAACATGGTTTTCACCATTACCTGCCATAACCACTTGGAAAAGTCAATACGTAATCTTCTTTAAAATCTAAAACGTGAACAGTGCCGTGTCCAATGTTATGAACTCCTACGGAAAGACCTAAAAACTTTGATTTTGTGTAAACGAATGCTTCGAAACAAATTTTTTTTGCCACGCATTCGGCATAAAACGCCGAAACTGAAAAAAAAAAAAAAATTACAAATCATTAATTATAGATAGAATTCGTAGATTTCGTGTAAAAGTGTGCGTGTGTGCGTGTTTGTATGATACGCACTCGGTGGATGGTGAGAAACTTGTTCAGCTATAAAGGCCAATTGTCCGCGAGTGCACCAAGGCATTGGTCCGTCATCGACGGGAGTGCTATCTGCCGTTTCCGTAAAACCCGGAATATTCCAGTAACATTGGAAAATTTCACCCAATATAGGATTGTATGGTTTTTTCGCGACGGTGCTTTTACGTCCGGCATGATAAGCGGACATGTACCACTTGACGACTTGAACCATTCTATCTTTGGGAGTTTTTTTATCTGCAATACTGGAAACGTACGTTCCTTTGTTACCAAGTAAAATCCCGATTCGAAAGAGAATAATATCGTGACGTCACCGCTTACCTGACAAACATGTCCGGATGAGCAAAGTAATCCGCGTACATTTCCAACAGAGATCGAGTTTCGAGAATAAATGTAGGCAAAACTACTTTGGTGAGATCCATTCCTATTTTCACTTGCGATAATAAATGTGTTATCATCGAACCGTGGTTTTCCATGGATATATCTTACCGAAACAAAAAAAAAAAAAAAAAAATTAAAAAACTCGAACGCATTCGAACGCACGAGTGAACGCACATAAACGCATTTTTCAAAAACTCACCGCTTTGATCTTCGTCGTCTTCGTACAAAGCTGTAACAATTTTAAATTAAAATTTATTTTTATTTTGTAAAAAAAAACGATTTTTTAATTTTTATCGTGACTTTAACTCACCGTCGTAATCCAAAGATCCGTCGATTCGTACGGGAGGAGACGAAGCTCCCGAACTACTGGATTTTTTACTCGTACCTGGAACATTTGTCAGCTGTGTTGAGCTCGATTCTTTAACGCCGTTACTGAAAGCAAAAAAGCATCACAATTTTTAGAAAACAAACAATCAAAAAAAAAAATTCGCAACATTTCAAAACTTGTATATGGTTATGATTGGTGTAAGTGAGGGGAGGGAGGGAGGCATTATCGATTGTTTTTAATTTGCATAACCTAAAAAAAAAAAAAAAAGGAAAAAACTTCGAGACGCGACATTTTAAGGAAATTTTCTCTATAAATTCTAACACGAAACCAATTTTTTTCGTTTTTGTTTCGAAATTGTGTTACGTTTATTTATGTTTTTCGAACACGATTTCGAAAAAATTTTCTTTTATTATGCAATTTAAATTTTTTTTTTCCGTTTTCGCTTTTTGGGTCCCTCCCCACCCAAAAATTTGACAAACTCTCGTTTGTGATACCCATTCCAGGAAAACCTTATTAAAAAACGTCACTTCGTAGAGGCTAGAGGGAAAACCATCATCTTTTATCCATTTTCACTCGTTTAAAGACTCAAATAAAAATAAAAAAAATTCTCACTTGCGGTAAAACATCAAAGAAATCGATCACACACACACGTAAAAAAAAAAAAACCTCGCGAGTCTCTTAAATCCGATTTTACGTTTTTAAACAATAAAAGAAAACAAGAGATTAACCGCAGCATAATATATAAACGAAAATAAACATTTTTTTTTTTTTTTGTTTTCTTTCTCTTCATTACTATTAATAACGTTTACTTATTTTTATATTTAAATCACCGCCGTAATACATTTAAAAACGACAGAGACTCAAATCGTCACAGCAGCCAAAAAAAAATTAAATCACTTAACCGAAAAAAAAAATTGTTAAAAGTAAATCAAAAGCCCGCAAGGCGAAATTAAATCCTGGAAAAAAAAAAAAAAAAAAAGAAAAACAAACGAAAATTTTTTTTTTTTTTCTTCGATAAGTCTCGTCTGCTGCTGCTTTCGTTAAAAATTTTCTCGCGTTAATAATAATAATAAATAGAGAGAGAGAGAGAGAGGGAGAGTTACTTCCGGAGTAAAATAAAACTCCCTCTTCCGCCTCCCCGATTTAATTAAAAACACGTCACTCACGTCGGTAGGAAAATGAAAACAAAAACAAACAACAACCACATGACGGTGTTAAAGATGATGAGAGTTAAAATGACGGGCAAGACAGATTTGCAATGATGACGTGGAGAAGGAGAGGGAAGAGGGATAAAAGGGGATAGAAAAAACTGGAAGGAGGAATTTTGTAGAAAACTAACAAATTGATTCCTCTGAACACCGCAAAAACAACAACCCCGACAAACAGCGAAATATCTCTTCTCTCTCTTTCTATCTTTTTTTCTCCACGTCACGTGATTAAATGTCAATACTTAAACTTTGCCTTTACCAATGTTAAAACCTTGCGAACAAACAAACAAACAAACAAACTCAATTTTCAATAAAAAAAAATTTAAACGAAATTCAAATAGACAAACAACAACGCGCAAAGTAAAAAATTCAATTTGCCGTTTGTTTAAATATTTAAATAATACTAATAATAATAATAATAATAATGAATTTAATTAATAAGTAAATCAGAGTTTCCGCAAAAGGAAATTTTTTTTTTTTTCCTTTCCAACCTCGCGAGGTCAATGCTCATTGCAAAAAACCTCAACCGCGAAAACCACAAAAAAATTCATGACGACGAACTAAAACGTAAATTTAATAAAATACAAACGACGACGACAACAACCGACAACCTACAAAATCAAAGGAAAAAACATAAAATTCGATTAATAATAATAATATTAATAATAATTGTTTTTGACAATTAGGACTCGTACAAATTTGCAATCTATCCTTTTGAATATTTGAATAAATTCCGCAGCAAATAAATAATTTAATTACTTAATTAATTAATTAATGAAACAAACGAGAAAACAAACAAACAAACAAACGAATCAAACGAACCATTTTTCACATATGTCATGCCTTGACATGGATTTTTTTGTTTACTTTTTTTTCTTCTTCTTCGGAAAAACCTCCACGATAATATTATTTCAAATGGAAAATAAATTGAAATGTTTTTTTTCTTCCTCCATTCAAATTTTCAATTTTCTTTCTGTCTTCATTTTACCACCCCCCCCCCAAAAAAAAAGAACCGATACAGAGAGAGAGAGGGAAAGATGTACAAATCAAATGGAATCGCGATAAGAAAAGCAAAAGAATAAAAAAAAAAACAGACATTATCATTTTTGCAAAAATGACAACTTTTCCAAAACGTACGTAAATAAAATAATAATAATAATAACAACAACAACATTTTTTTTTTATAAAAAAAAAAAAAACCGAAAGAGAAAAAAAAAAAAATAATAATAATAATAAATTTTACCATGAAGCTTCATTTTCGGTGTCGCGTTCGCACATGTGATCATTTTTTTTTTTTATTTCATTTTATTGTCAAAAAAAAAAAAAAAAAATCGAACTGAAAATTTTGCCGATGAAGTCTACTATATGAAATCCATGAAAACAAAAAAAAAAAAAAAAAAATATTCTGACTGAACGAACAACGCTTTTACTTCACGACGAAAATAATCAATAATAATAATAATAATAATAAAATCACAGCCTTCTTGAAAGATGTAAAAAAAAAAAAATAATAATAATAATAAAAATACTTTTAAACTCGATTCCGCGAGTACGAATTGTAAATTTTCGTTAGAGTGTTTTTATAATTAATTTTGTGTCGTCGCCGCCGTCGCCATATTTATTTTTCTTCTGCTTTTTTATTATTATTGTTATTTTCCTTTCGAATTTATTACTTAGTAAATTTAAAATTTTGAAAATCTGAATAAACATTCGAATGATTTGAATTCGTAACGATTGAGAATGGGGGAGAAATAAAAAAAAAACAAAAACAAAACTCTCGAGGAATAATAATTATTATTATCATCATCATCATCGTCATCGTCATCATCATCATCATTATTATTACTTTGACAATAGTTTGAAATAATTCGAATTCTAAAAATTTTCCTCATCGCATCAAAAAAAAAGGAAAACCGCGGAAAAACTTTTATAAAGAAACAACACCGGTGTAAGATGACATGTGATCGATTTGATTTAAAAAACGATAGATCGAATTATCGATAAATCGATCGATTGTTATTCGAATCGATTATAATTGAAAAAACGTTTACTTTGAAATGATTAAAAAAAATTAATAATAAAAAATAAAAAACTTTAAAATTTTCAAAGTTTAACGCATTCAAAAATTCAAATTGTCTTTTGGATTTTCGTAATTTTTCTTTCCGTCAAGTTTTTCTTTCGAACTTTGATCCTACCTCCCCCCCTTCCGGAAAACCCATCATTACTTTTCAAAAACTGCATTTAACTTTTCCCCTCCCTTTCCCTTTTTATTTCAAAAAGAACCTTATAGAAATTTTCGAAGTTTTTTCTCCTCGTTTGTATGTTTTTTAATTTTTCACCTCGTCAGAACGATTCCTTTCCCTCCCCCCGTTCAGCCCTTCCCCTATTCAACGAAGACCGCACACGACGGTAAAATTAATTAAAAACCATCAGAAATTTTTCCGACGAGTCTTTCCAAACGTTTTCGAATCTGTGTCAGGCAAATAAAAAAAAAAGACATTTATATCGTTTCTGTCGCGTCCAGATTCCAACTTTTTTTTTTTTTTTCTACTCGTAAATTTCGACGTTTAAAAAAAAAATGTCACCGAATAAAAAAAAAAAAAAAAATGGCAGAGGCATCTTTATCGAAAGATTTCGTTCCTATTTTTGTTAAAAAATAATGATAATAATAATAATAATAATTTTCTGGGCCAATTAAACAAGAAACTCGTAAGAAAAATTTGGTGACCGTCCAAATCGTAACAAACGAAAAAAAAAAAATCACTTAATGAAATGTTTGTTTCTTTCTTTCTTTCTTACTTCCTTCCACCACCCCCACCTTCCCCCATCACCTTCGAATCTCTCGATATTTGATCTTTTACGTTTCGATACGCCGCCATTTAAAATCTCCAAAAAAAAAAAAAAAAACAAAAACAAAAATAAGTCAAATCGAGATATCGATTTTCCGACAGTTTTTTTTTTTTAAACAAAAACCGACAGCAAACTTTATGAAATATTTATACGCATTAGTCGACATAAAATTTCTTTTGGGAGTAAAAACTTTCATCTCGCAGCACGGAATCCCCTCCCTCCTCTGCCACCCCCCCAAAAAAAAAACAAAATTTCAAACTAAAACGTCACGAACTCGATTTTTTTTTTTTTTAATGTTTTGAAAATCCATCATCGACCGCAACAACGACAACAACAACCACAATCACTTAAACAAAATTAATTAATTACTCGCTCTATTTTCATTATTATTATTATTAATATCTTTCTTTTGTTTTTGTTACAATGCAATGCGAATGTGCCGAATACGAAACAAACGTTTAAATCGAACAAACGAACAAACAAACAAACCGAAGCTCAAAGTTTTAATTGCTCATAAGAAAAAAAAGTTAATAAAAAGTTTAACCATAAATAAATAAATAAATAAATAAATTAATTAATTAAACTTTTGCGAAAAATGTGCGTCACAAACAAACTACAATTCTCTCAAAAAAAAAAAAAACGGGAAAGTCTTTTTTTCCTTTGTTTTCTCCAGCTGGAACGGAGGAACGAAGGGAGGAACGAAAAGGGAGGGAAAAGGGGCGGGAAAAATTTCGGGCACGTTTCGATCGTGAACGTAAATTTTAAATTTTGTGAAATGATGCCATTGTGTTTCTTATTGCTACAAAAAAAAATTTTTTTTTTACATATAATTCACGGGGTGCCACGTCGTCATCGTTGCTGCCACGACACACGCACACACACACACACACACACAAAACCGAGAGATAACAATGGCAGTTTTAACGAACAAATAATAATAATAATAATAACGCTATATTAAATCGATTGAAAATTTTATTTTTACATAAAAAATAAAAAAAAAAACTTTTTCGTAACGTTTTTTTGGCACTCGACTTTTTAATTTATTCATTTATTTAAAACATAAACAACATTTTTTTTTATTACCCCTTCGGTTTCAGTAATAGTAATAATAATAATAATAATAATAATAAAACCCACCCAAAGATTCCCGCCCCCCATTATCATCATTATTTTTTTTTCTTTTTCTCTCAAGTGCCACGATGTTTATTATAATTTATGATAATGATAATAACAATAACAATAATAATAATATTCATCCATTTTTTTAAGAGTCTTATTCGAATAATAGTATGATGATAATAATGATAATAATAATAATAATAGTAATAATTTTTTCGTTCGCGTCAGCTCGAAATTTTTTTAACCAGCATTCTTAAAATAATTAAAAATCTGCAAAGGAACTAAAATTTTACGGTGCCCTTTTCGTTTTATAGAGTAATAAAGAAAGAAAGAGATAAAGAGAGAGAGAGGGAGAGAGAGAGAGAGAGAGAAAAAAACAATAGAAACTTTAATGGGTTCACTCGGGTCGGTTCGAAGGAATATAAAACTAAAAAAAAGGACAAGAGGTTACCTGATCATCATCGTCACCATCGTCATTTCTTTCATTAAAAAGCAAACCTACTATTATCATTATTATTACTATTATTAAAGAAAAAGAAAAAGAAAAGGAACGATTTGAAATTACCTCCAAAGCTTTCTGTAGCTTGCAAACATTCTTTATTTCCATTTTCGAAAAAGGTTAAATGAAAAATTTTAAAATTTTTCACTCGTCACCAACACAAATCGTCCACGGACGAGTCGTTAATTATTCGAGAAAGAGAAAAAAAAACATTGCAAACCGCAGCGTATTATTATTATTATTATTAGTAGTAGTATATCGATTTCACAAAATCATTTTTCAAATTTTATAAATAATGCAGAACAAGTTCAAAAAAAGAAAAAAAAAAAACGCTTTGAGAAAAACCAACGATCGCACCACTCTCATTTCCGATTCGATTCGCTACTGGAAGAAAAATATCGATGCTTTTAAAAATCTGCGCAGGCTCCAATTTATTTAGATTTGGGTGAAAGAAAAAAAAAAAAAAACCCGACGCTCAGGGTCGGAATAAGAAAACAAAGGCCGACCGAGCAATGTAATAAATAAGGCGCAGGTTTTACTATTATTATTATTATTATTATTACTATTTTATTTACATTTTCTTTTTTTTCATAGTTTTTTTTTTTTTTTTTTTTTTTATTACCTCGATTTGTATTCAATTGTGTCAAAACCTTGAAATTCGACTTTGAGTTGCCCGTACGGCAGGCGGTGGTACAGGCAACGAACTCCTAACCAACCGGTTACACGACCGACATTTTTTTTAATCCGTAAAAAATTTCAACGAATTCGTGCAAATTTAATAATAATAATAATAATAATAATAATAATAATAATAATAATAATAATAATAATATGCGTAGAATCGTCAAATTCCGGAAGTTAATACTCCGGAAAATCGGAGATAAAAAATTAAATTATAAAATTTTCCCTTTCTTTCATCAGCATCAGTTAAAAAATGAGACAAACAAACAAACAAACAAACAAACGGATTCGACAAACCGAGTTAAAAAAAATGTCGCTCGATAAAATTATTAAAAATTAAATTAAACGAACGGGTAAAATAGAACAAAATCCGAAAGAAAGAAAGGAAGGAAGGAAGATGAGAACGGAGCAAATAAATAAAATAAAAAAAACCACCCTTTTCGTCCGAAATATTTTCTGCCACATCCGGAAGGGGGAGGGGACGGGGGGGGCGTGGTAGCGGAGAAAAAAACCATTCGAAATGGAAAATAAATACGAACGAACGAACGCACTCACGCACGCACGAACGCTTTCCAAGTTAATTAATTCAAATCAAAACAAAATATTATTATTATCATTATTACTATAAAAATTTCGAAAAAAAGTTATTAAAACTTTTAAACTTATCCTTGAAGAAAAGTTAATTTTTAACTGCTATTCGATTTCTTATTGATTACAATCGAAGCCATTTTGTGTTATTTTGAACAGAAATAATAATAATAATAATAAACGCAGCGTAAAAAAAAACTAGAAAACTAAAAAATTTATCAGTCAAACATGTTTTTCCTCCTACCGAGTGCAAATAATTATTATTATTACATACACATTCGCCATTTTTTTTTTTTTTTCAACTTAAAATTCACATCTCGAGGGTAGATAAGAAAATTTACTACTTATCTAGGTTGTTGTTGTTATTATTATTATTATTATTATTGAAGAAAATGTGTGTGTTGTTGCTAAAAATGTTGTCAAACAAGTAAACAACGTGTTAATAAAAAAAAAAAAAAAAAAAAACGAAACACGCCGATCGAAATTAATTTCAACAGTGTCTACATTAATAATAATAATAATAATGATAATGACTTTTGTTATCGAAAAGGAGACTACGAAGGAAACGTTTTAATCCGCGAAAAACGTGATGAAATAGTAAACGAAACTCTGTTGTTTTGCCACCACGTAGAAATTGCCACCGAAAAATAAACAAGGGTCATTTGCGACAAACTTTTGATCCGGGAATAAACAAACAAACACCCGACACGAGTAAGGTACAGAATTCTTTCTTATTCGCACTTTCAAACATGGCGTGGAAAAACAAAACTTAAACGTTTAACTTACCCGACGATAAAATTCGCACTCGTCGTGCGATTAGCCGTCACCGAACTGTTCAAATCATCGTCGGCATCGAAAAAATCTTCGTCGTCGTCCGAACTCGAATACGAAGTTTCAGGTACAATTTCCGGCGGAACGATGAGCGTCATCCCTTCCGGACTCGCAACGTGTGACAAACTTTCTGCAAAAAGAAAAAATTTTTTTAAAATTTCAACACGCACGAAAAAAAAACAACATTTTATTAAAAATATTAAAAAAGGTATGATACCTATTACGGCAGGCATTAGTATGGGATTGTTTAAGCAATCGCTACCGAGTTCGATGGTTCCAGGAGTAGGTTCCGTATAGGATTGAGTTTCTGATGTGTTATCGTCGGAAGGCAAAAGTTCTCTCGATCCTCTTCTCGGTTGTTGTTGTTGATGTTGATGTTGTAGCTGTTGTGATTGTTGTTGTTGTTGTTCTTCAAAGGAAGCACTTGATTTTTTTACATGAAAATTACTACCTAAACACAAACAAAACGAACGGATAAAAACAAAAAAAAAAAAAAGGATTAATCACACACAACACGATCTTGATACAAGCACACAAATCGTAGATTAAACGACGTGTAAATAAACTGTTATTATTATTATTATTAATCACAAACGTTAATGTCTCGAAAAAGTAGGAAAAAAACTTTTAAACCTTTTATTTTGTAAAAGAGATTTAATGCCTTAACACACACGCCTCTTTCACTGATAACGTCATCAAAAAAAAAAAAAAAAAGGTTTTCCCATGAGTGATTTTTTACTCCGACATGTTCCATCCATCAATTATTCCCTCATCGCGTTTATAAACCCCCCCCCCCCCATCATCGCGTTTGCTTTCCACAATAATAATAATAATAATAATGATATTATTAATGCAGCAATCGGGTAATCAATAAATAAACCCCCTCCCCCCGTTCGTTACGTCATAATCTTTCAATTTTTTTCTTTTTTTTTTCTCTAAGAGTTGAAAACCGAAAGCGACCGAAACATCTTTGAAAATACATAAAAAAAAAGAAAATAGGAAAACGAGACAGCTAACATTGCAAATAATAATAATAATAATAATAATAATAATAATAATAATAATAATAATGATAATAATAGTTTCAGTAAAAAAAAAAAAAAACGAAAGAAAAAAAAATGAATTCGAAAGGCGAAGGATGGAGAAGAAAAAAATGTTGAAAATGCGGTGGTATAAGGGGGGGAGGGGCTGGTTTCACGTTCGGTTTAAATTTTTATTAAAAAAAAAAATATGTTCAGTAGGTAAAAACCTTTTTTTTTTTTTTTTACCTCAAAAAAAGAAAAGTTATGAAAATGAAATTGAAAACTCGAATATTCAATTCGTAAACTCTTATAAATTGTTCTTAAAAGAAAAAAGGAAAGAAAATTTTTCCTCTTTTGATCGACACCGCAAGACAGCAAATAATTTGACGTTTGAAATAATAATAATAATAATAATTTTACAATAAAAAAAAAATTCGAGAATCCTCCATATAATCAATCGATTGAAAAAAAAGGAAACGCTGCGACGCTTTCCCAAAGGAAACGATAAGGAAACAACAGAAAGAAAAAGAAAAAAACTCCGGTTGGAAAAATTTTCGGAATTTATTTCGGGGCGGGGAGAAGAGAAAAAGAAAGAGAGAGAAAGAAAGGAGGATCGAAAAGAGGAAAAGAGAGAGAGAAAAAAAAATTTTTTAAATAAAAACAACGAAGAGTTTTTCAGGAAGACAAAATTTTCGTTTCGTAAATCCAATAACAAAAAAAAAATAAAAAAAAATTTTACTCGTTCGATTCAAATTGAGAAAATCCGATTTCGAAAAAAAAAAAAAAAAATCATTACCATTATTATTATTATTTTTTTTTTCCCCTCCAGCATTCTAACAAACCTAATCTCTCCAGAGAAAAGGGAAAGTGAAGTTGAAAGAAAAAAAATAAATAGAAAATTGTACCGACTGTGTCCTAACGATTTTCCTTTTTTTTTTTCACTTTTTTAAAATTTTCCACAATTTAAAAAAATTTTTATATTTTCTTTTTGGGTGACAACGACAGCGACGACGACGTCACGTCATCATCTTCTTATTAATTATAAATATAAAAAAAAAATTTTTTTTCTTTTCTCCTCAGAATTTTTCGTTTTTTCGACTCCCCCCCCATAATAGAGGAAGAGAAAAAAAAACAAAACCTTACCGTGCCTAAGAAAAACAAAAAAGTGTCACGTTTGCGTGTCACGTGATACCAATAAAAACTCGTAAAAAAAAAGAAAATTTACGAAATAGAAAATTCCATTGTATCGAATCGAAGTCTAAATTTTTTTTTTTTTCCTCTTTCTCTCTCTGTTATTTCTGTCTGTAGGCCAACTGAGTTCAAAAAATTTGCCCTAAAAAACTTTTTTTTTTTTTTTCGTTTTACAATTTATTAGCGATTCGAATTCGAAAAAAACACACACGCACACGCACACACACACACACAGAAAAAAAAAGCAAGATAGAGAGAGAGAGAAAAACATGTGAAATCGTTTTCTCCGTCTCGACAAAATTTTTTTTTTTTGTTATCGTGTTAAATTTTTCCAACGGTCAAATTTTAATTAAAATCACGTCGTGTCAATAGTAAAAAGAGAAAAAAGAAAAAAAAACGAAGAAAAACAAAGAAAAACAAAAAGAAAAACCAAAAGAAATTTTTTTTTTTTTAGAAAAATAATTATCATCGTTAGTTTTTTTAATTACCTTATTCTTTATGATTTAATTTATTCACCTGCGGGGGTACACAATAATAATAATAGTAATAATAATAATAATACACAATAAGTTCAAGAAGTAAGAAAGAGATGGAGAAAAAAAATAAATAAAAACTTACCTATTGCCCTAGTTTTCTTTGATTTATAATGTGAAGTAACTAAACCGATTCCGTACACGGGGTCAATCGTGTTCTATAAGAAAAAAAAAAAAAAAAAAGGCGTTAATGACCGTTAAATTTAACTTAACTTAAAAACGCCTTAAAAGGGTGACACAACCTTACACGCACGCACACACACACTCTCGCATTTTATGACGTAATTAGAAAAAACGTTTGCATGTTTTTAGGGGAGGAGGTGTAGAGGAGAGGTGGAAAAAAAGGAAAAACTCGTGACCCTTTAGGCGTGACCCATCAGCGCCAGTCTCAACGACGTCTGGTTAAAAGAATCCATAAGGGGGGCGACATAAAATTCACGATTAAATTTTTTATTTGTCACACTCGTTTCTCGAATTCTCTCGTCGCAACCGTGACCTTTTTTTTTTCTTTTCCAAATCATCAATAATCATACCCCCTTCTTTCTTCTCGTGCAAGCAGGAAAAAAAGTAAGAATAATAATAATAATATTAATATTAAACTTTTTTTTATTGATTATCGTTCGTTATCGAACCCTCAAGAAAAAATAAAGTAATTTTTTTCGTTTCGTTTTCGTTTTCGTTTACGGAAAATAACGTGGAAATTCTTTTTGAAATAATAATAATAATAATAATAAATTTATCAAATCGAAAGTGTAAACAATTAAATAAAAAAAAAAAAAAAAAACGGCTGCGCAAAAAAAAAATCGTGGAAAAATACATTAAAAGGTTATTGCTCCCCATCGACAGCAATAATTCTTCTTTTTTTTTTTTTTAAAGATGTCAACACGTTCTCTCGGAGAAGACTTAGATTTAAAAAACCATAAGTTTAATTTCCGTTTTAATCGCGTAATACTTGTACTTTATCTTCTGCCGCCACGACATAAATTTCACACACACACAAAAATCGAAATTCGTCGTTTCGAAAAAAACGTACAAAAAAAAATTCATAATTCCATCATATCATTTTTTCTCCCTTTTAATTCGACAGAAATAAGAGAGAGAGAGAGAGGGAGGAGGGGGCAACAGCTACAGCAACCCAACAACTCACGGGAAAATGATGACATTGAAAACAAAAAAAAAATAAAAAATAAAAAAAATTAAATGTTTTTCCAATTGACCTTCGATAAAATAAAGGTTCATTAATAAATAATAAACAAAACAATCAATTTATTATGATCGTCACCTCCGTCACGCTCCTCATTTTTTTTCCTCCTCTTTATTTATTATTCACGTGACCGATTTTCAAAAGGAATCATTATTATTATTCTTTTGCTTATTTACTTACTCTATTTTTATTTTTATTTTTCATTTCATTTATATATATATATATATATATATATATATATTATCTACGTGTATTTATTTATGTCATATTTATTTTCGCGATACATTTAATAATAATAATAATAATAATAATATATACCTTTTCATCATCATTATTATTATTTTTGTAGATTATTAAAAAAGATCAAGTTGAAAACACCTTTTTTTATCTTTTTTTATGTCGCCGACAATAAAATTTTTTTAATTAATTACGAATAATTACTTTTCCAGGGTAATTTTTTTTAATTATCCTTATTATTATTATTATTATTATTATTATTTCTGAATGATTACGATTAAAAAATAATTTGAAAAGGGGGGGGGGAAATCCTTTTCAAAATTAAATTTTTTTTAAATAACAAAACAACAACGAAAGGATAATTAAAAAATAAAAAAAAATTAATAATAATAATATTGATAATAATTTAAACTCATTTAATTTCCCGCCAAATTAATTTTTTTTTTTTTAAATAAAACTTTAAATTCCGCCAATAATTTTTAATATTCCCAAAAGGATTTAGAGAAAATTGAGGAAAAAAAACAAACTTTTCAACTCTTTTAAACAAATAAACTTAAAACTTTTTTTTCAAAAAAAAAAAAAAAAAAAAAAAAAAAAAAAAAAAAAACTTCCGCTTTTTAAACTTTACAAACAAAACAAACGAAACAAACACACACGCTCGAATAAAAAAAATAAAAAAAATAAAATTGAGAAAATGGAAGAATTAGGAAGAGAAAAAAAATAAATAAATAAATTGAAAACGTTCCCCCCCCCCCTTTCGAATGTAGAAAAAATAAAACAAAACAAAATTTTACAATTGTTTCTAGAACAACATGGAAAAATCGGGAAGGGAAAGGAGGGAGGGAGGGTGAATTTAAACCTTGCAGGTACACAACAGGAGGAAATTCACAAAAAATTCACCTGAAAATTATTTCCGAAAGTGAAAAAACAACGTCTGCTTAAAAAATGATCATTAATTTATTTAAAAACGAAAATTTGGAAATTCATTTTCCACTAAAGACCGCAAATTTTAAAACGACGAACGACGGTTTTCCCGAGCTATAATAAAATTATTCGTGCGGACGTTTGCGAAAGCCCGAGAGAATTACATGTTTAAAACCGAGAAAACTCAAATAAAAAAAAAAAAAGAACGCCAACGAACGCAATCGAACGTAACAAACTAATTCACATTAAAAAAAAAATATTAGGAAAAAAAGTAAACAACAACATCATCACACATCTTAGAAAAAAATCACGTTCGTTCGATACGTCGTGGCGTTCACCGCGTTTGTTTTACGAATGGCAAAAGTTCGTTCGATTTAATACTTCTGCGTACCACGTCGTCGTCGACGTCGATGTCGACGACGACGACGACGTTTGCATTATGTATTTTATTCATCCCGTATCGAAATATAAAATTTACAAGTGGAAAGAAAATTATTTTAAACGAAATTCAAATTATTTCTCACACAATAATTAATGTCGAATCGAATAATTTTCTAACGCGAGAAATCGCGAGAGAGAGAGAGAGAGAGAGATAGTGAGAAAGAGAGAGAAAGAGAATAAAATATAAATGGCGGAAATTGAATTCGGGAAATTTACTTTATTATTCTCTCTTTTTCCCGCGAATTCGTTTGAAATTAATTGGCGATACTTGGAATTTTTTAAAACGTTTTTCATCCCCCCCTTTCGTTTCCGCGTCTCCCCATTTGAATTTTTTAAATTCCGTAGTCGATGAAGGGGGGTAGTTGCGGAAACGGAAAAAATTTTCCATTTAACCGCACGATTTTTCTAAGAAATTTGATTTTTTTTGTTTTTTTGAATTTTAAACAATTCTAATTTTCGAATCCCTGAACTCATCATCATTTCGCGATATTTTTTTTTTCCTTTCTGAACTTAATTACTGCAACATATTCTGAACATTAATTATTATTACCTGGTAACGCCTTAGTAATGTAAAGTAATAAAAAAAAAAAAAATTCCACGTCATTCGTTCGGTTAGAAAACTTTTTTCCTTTCACATTTTCATTTAGGAAAATGATATAAGCCTAAAAAAACCCAGATTAAAAAAAGAAAAAACGATCGAATCGTCTTCAGAACCTACGGCAGGAAAATTTCAGTAATAGAAAAAACGGGAGGAAAACTCTATGGGGGGATAGGGGGGAAACAAAAGAAAAGAAAAAACTAATAAGTTTTATTACAAAGTTTGAAAGGAGAGATTCATTTTTCATTTGTTTTTTTTTTTTTTGTCCAAAAGTAATTAACATTCGAGCCGAGTAAAAAAAAAAAAAAAATAAATAAATAAAATAAAATCTTTTAACCCCTCCTTTCCTTCCTTCCTTCCTCCCTCCCTCCTCCCCCACAAAAATCATTTCATTGTAACGGTTTAATTTTTTCCTTTTTTTCTTTTTTTTTTAATTTTCATCTAAGAATTTCACTTAAAGTATTTAATTACAATCGATGACGTCGATTTTGTCGTTTTCTTCTTTTTCGAAAAACAAAACAACGACAGTACAATTATTATTATTATTATTATTATCATCATTATTATCATTTTTTAAAAATAAAATCGATCGATTATTCGAAAGTGAGTGAGTTGCCAAAAGGAAAAATAAAAATACCAAATTTTAAAAAAATTAAAATCTTTTTGAAAAAAAAAAAACGTTTGTTTTTTTTTCTTTCCAAATGCTAGACAAACGAACAAACAAACAAACGAGCGAAATACATAATGATAAATTTCGCATGATGACTGCTTGCTTGCATCGGCCAGTGTTTCGAGAAACAAACGCGGAAAGATTTTTTACATTTAAATAGGGCATAATTAAAAAAAAATTAAACAACAAACAAAACAACAACAACAACAACAACGGAAACTGCAACAAAAAAATAAAAATAAATAAGAAAATGATAAATGTTTTGAATCGTTATCCAACCGTGTTAACAAACGTTTAAAAAAAAAAATCGCGACAAATACAAACAAACACAAACAACATTCGATCAAAACGGTAAGAAATACACCTCATCGTAAAGGATTCATCCCCCCACCGTAGTCTCCTCGCGTAAAAAAAATAAATTAAAAATGACGGGGGGGGGGATAATAAGTAGTGCAAAAAAAAAATTATTATTATTATTATTTTTTTGATTTATGTACATGATCTGTCTTGTACAGCTACGTTACGTCTTCTTTCTTTCTTTTTCTTTCTTTCTCTTTCTCTTTTCATAATTAATTTTAACAAATTCATTATTAAGAAAAAAAAAAATGGCGGGAAGACTTACTTATTTAATTTTTTTTTTTGAATGAAAAAATGAACAATCGTTGTTTAAACGTTCATCATTCTATTCTCAAGATAAATGACCGAACCTTATATTATTAATCCGTTGAAAAAAGAGAGAGAGAGAGAGAGAGAGACACTGAGTTACAGTTATGCATCGTTTGTTTGTTTGTTGGACTTTTCATTTATATTTAGTTTTTTAAATAATGTCCAAGTGATTGTTTCAACAAACAAAACAAAATAAATCCGTAAGTAAAATTTTATATTTTAAATCCTCATATTAAAGCAAATTTAAAAAAAAAAAAACGGGAAACCGTCGAAATATCCCATGGGATGTAGACTACCACGAGTGCGTTTTACCCCCCCAAGAAAATTTTCCAAACGTCATCCCTTATTGGTAATCCATAATAATTTCTCAGTTTTCGGCCCCAAAAAACCCCAAATAATTATTTTCGAATTAAAATACAGAATTCTAACACATCTTCTAAGGGGATGGTAGGGGCGGGGGAATTTCCCATCTTCGGTACACTCGTTCGAATAAAAATTTTTAAACAAATCCTCCCCCCCCCCCCGTAACCACAACCTTTTCTCGCATGTGTGCGCGTCAAAATTGATTTTACTTTCGTCATTTTAACAAATTTAAATAACATTTCAAAAACAAATTTTCTTTTTTTTTTTTTTTTTTTGGATAATTTTCCGACGAAATATTTATATTTACTCTCTGATTCGTTGTCGTCGAACGAATATGACGACAAAAACACAACAAACACAACCGGAACGACGCCTTTTCATTCGTCGCGTTTAAAATTTTAAACAACAACAACAAACAACGCACGATCGACTTTTTTTTTTAAACCCTGCAAATTTTTTTTGTAAATTGATGGTAGCTTACCTTTAGAATTTGGAGAAGAACAATGGCTAATTTCACTCCGCCGACGAGAAGCTGGAAAAAAAATAATAATAATAATAAATTTCGATAATTTTTTTTTTTTTTTTTTTTTTTTACAAAATAAAATAAACACCCGCAACGACATGTGTCACGTGTAAAAGACAGAAAAATGTTTCTCGTTACATCTAAATTCGAAAACATATAAAATCGAATTGACGCAACGTTTCCAAATTTGTCAACGAAAACAACGTCCAATAATAATAATAATAATAATAATAATGATAATAATAATAAAATCCATCGTAAAAAAAAAAAAAAAAAAAAAAACTAACGTCGTCGTTGGTCGAATCCGCGTGCTGCTGATTCATATTTTCAACTTTAAAAAAAAAAAATAATAATAATATAAAATCGTATTTGTTAACAAACGACGATTTTCCTCTTTTACTATTATTATTATTATTATTAATTTCTATGCGAAAAAAGAAAAAATAAATAAATAAATACGATACGAAAAGTCCACAAACGGTAATGGAATTTGAATATTTCCCAAATAAGTAATAATTTAATAATAATAATAAAAATAATAATAATAGTAATAAATAATAATAATAAAATGCAAAATCGCATAAAAGCCTTTTTTCCTTTTTTTTTTTTCACAACCGCAGCAAAAAAAAAAAAATAAAAATAAATAAATTTCAATTTTTATATGTAAATTAAAAACGCGAGTTTTTCGCCTAAGAAAATTTCCATCGTAAATTTTGCCCCCCGTACCGCCCCCCTCGCGAAAAGTCAGAGTCATTGTTGTGACTTTATTAAAATCTCATTCTCGATTGTTTTCAAATAAATAAACAAACTTTTCTTCGCATTTTTTACTTTTAATCCATTATCGTTTGTCGAACGAATCTCATTTCCTTTGAAATTTTCCTCGCTCGACGAGAAAACAATTTTTAAAAAAAAAAAGAAAAAAAAATGAAAAATGTTCTTTTCTTACGTTGTAATTATGCGAAAGTTTTCCCAATTGGGATTTAAGGGATTCATCTTCGATGCCATCGATTTGCGAATCCAGGGATTGAGTTTGCTCAATGAGCATTTGTAACAAAACATCCGCTTGTGATATACGATTATCGAATTTTTTCATGTTCGTCTCGTACGAACAATCTTCTTCTTCTTCGAAATGAACCTGAAAAAAGAGAGAGAGAGAGAGAGAGATAGAGATAGAGATAGAGAAAAAAAAATAAACAATTTTTACCTGTTCCATACCAAAAAAAAAAAAAAAAATATCAAAAAAATTTTTTAAAAATTCTCTTTTCCCTGTCCTTCCTTTCTCTACCTCCCCCTTTCCCTTATTTTCCAACGAATAAAATTTTCCTAGAATTTCTATTTTTTATTTTTTTTTTAAAGGGAGAGAGGAGAGAAAGAGAGAGAAAACATCGTGTGTGGCGCCTTTGAAAGCTTGTTGTCGAAAATTACATTTATCAACTTCCGTGACACAAAGAACAATCGATTTCACTCACTAACGGAAAAAGAAAAAAAGAAAAAGATAGAAAAAGAGAGTGTGTGTGAGAGAGAGAGAGAGAGAAAGAAAACTTCTTCCCTCCATTAAACTCTATTAAGATTTAACCCATTTTCGGTGAAAGTAATATTTTCTTTTTTTCTTCTTTTTTTAGTATTATTATTGGGTGAGGTCAAAATAAAATTGAACTATTACGACTCTTTCCACGTTTTAATTAATTTATAAAAATAAAACAATGATGGCGACGACAGCGACGACGATGACGATTTCAAATGAGTTTTAAATTTTTGTTTTCCGCGAATTTTTAAAACCTAAACATAAAAAAATTTTCAAGGCGAAATCCCGGATGGAAAACGAAAACGAAAAAAAATATAGAACAAGGCTTTAAGATTTTAAATTGGATAATTAATATTAATTACGTTCTACCACGTTGTTTCTCTTTCTCTCTCTCTCTTTCTCTTACTCCTAACCCATTTTTTTTTAAGGTTTGAAAATTTTCGTTATACCTTGAGTAACTGATGAGGCATGTGTTTCCTTAAAAAGACGATGGGTTGAACTTGATGTTCGTGTGTGAAAACGGCATGCCTCAATATGGTATCCTCCAAAGCTCGAACCCAAACTTCTCTTTCTGCTAAATTCCTCGCTTGAAAGTGAAAAGTTTTCGAATCTGTTGTTATTGTAAAATTACCATCTTCCTCATTGTCGATACCTAAAATGGCACCTTTTAATCGAACGCATCCCCTTCGGACTCCACGCATCATTTTTTCTCGTGACTGTAAACACAGAAACAAAAAAAAAATTTAAACACAATTTAAATTGTTTATAATAATAATAATATTATGTATTACGAAAAAAAAAATTATTTTTAAAAACTTTTTCCTGTTGCTGTCGTTTTGTACTTAAAAAACTTTCCTTTTCATCATTTTTTTTTTTTTTTAACCTACTTCTCCGTTCGGTGATTCAACCCGAACAATAAACAAGCTTTCACTTTTGCCACACAAAAAATTTTTTTTTTTTTTTTTTTTTTTTTAAATCCAGGAAATTGTTAATCGATTCCCAAAGGGGGCCCCCACGTAAATGAGACAAAAATTTTTTGAATTATTCATTAAGAAAAATTATTATTTATTTGGGGGAAAATTTTTTTTCAATCTCATAACGTGAGATAATTTACGTTCGTTAACGTGGCAAAACACGACGACGACGACGACAAATTCGACGATGAAAAAAATTAATTTAAGTTAATTTTAAAAAAAGTTTAAAAGTGACAAAATTTTTATCGTAACAAAAACAATAACAAACAACAAACAACAACAACAACAACCGTAATTAAATTACGAGTTATGAAGTGAAAAGTTTAAGAGTTTAATAATAAGAAGAAGTGTTTTTTTTTATTTTATTTAATTGCAACTTTAACGAATTTTACTTCATTAGATACAAAGGAAAACACACAAAGGAAAACAAAGGTAAAATAATAATAATGATGATGATAAAAAGGAATCACTTACGATAAACTCAAGTGGATAAAAATTAATTAATTATCTGCCTTCAATTGGGGCAGAAGAAGACTGAAGAACGACTTTTTTTACTTTTTTTTTTTTTTTTTTTTTTTTTTTTTTTACAGGAAGTAAAAGCAAACCTGGTGAAAAATCAAACGACACAAAAAAATGAATTCTCCTGCCACGATCAATTGGTTCGACGATATTAATCGTCTCCTCAACGAAAAATCTGGTAATAAATTTTTTTTTTTTTTTTTTTTCATTTAAATTAATTTTCAACAAAATCTTTCGATCAAAAACGCTCAAAATTATTATTATTATTATTTTACGAAAAAAAAAAGAAATGACGTCAACCGTAAAATAAAAATTCATTCTTTCATTTATTTATTTATTTATTTAAAAATAATAATAATAATAATAATAATGATGTTAATAACAATGACGATAATGAAAAAAATCATTCTTCTATTAAAAAGGTGATTGATTATTTATTGCACTTTGAATTTTTTTTTTTTAATATTTTCAATCGACAATATCATCATCATCATCATCATCATTATTATTATTATTAATTAATACATCAATAAAATTTCATTTAACCGTGACGAAAAAATATAAAGAAAAAATATAAGAAAAAAGGTTAAGAAAAATTTTAATTAGTAAAGAATAATCAAAGTACGAAAACGTATTTTTACCTTTGATACATTCATCACGTGGGTAAAAATTAATTAAAATCTAAAAATTTTCTTTGTTTTTTTTCACGCGCCCACGTGGCACTAAACAATATTTAAATTATTAAAAAATTTTCTCTCATATCGACAAACGTTTCATCATCACGTGCCACGACCTACACCGGATATACATAAAAACCCCGCGTAAAATTAAATTTTTCTACTTTTCCAGACGTTCGTTCGAGGGATTGGGCATTTATGGACAGTCCTTATCCGCTGATAACGATATGCGTTTGTTATTTGTATTTCGTTTGCAAAGCAGGACCGCAATACATGAAAAATAAAAAACCATACAATTTAAATAAAATAATAACGGTTTACAACGCGTTTCAAATATTTGCATGTTTGGCCATAATATACGGAGTAAGTCCTAAACAGCTAACCGATAAAACAATCCAACAAACAAACAAACAAACGATGACATTCGTTTCAGATGCTTTCGTCATTTTCTCTCACACGTTTCGGATGCGAATCCATCAATCATTCTGATAAGGAAAATTCTTATAGAGTCGCAAGGTGGACGTGGTGGGCAACATTATTAAAATTAACTGAATTTTTAGAAACGGTAATTTTTTTTTTTTTTTTTTAATTTTAATTTTACCTGCGACAATTTTTTACGACTCAATTTAAATTTCGATTTGACACGAGTTTCGTTCATGATTTCCACACAAAAAAAGAAAAAAATTTCCATGCTTTTAAATAATTTCAATGATGATAACAACAACAACAAACATAAACGCACGTTCTTGGACTAGCAAAAAATTATAATTTTTATTCTTCTTCATTTTATTTATATATATGTTTGTTATTCTCTCGACCTTTAACCTCAACAACCGACAACAACAACAACAACAACTTTTTTTTTTTTGTTAATACTTAACGACTTGACAAATTTTTTTTATTTTGTCTCTCTCTCTCTCTCTCTATCTCCCTCTATTTTTTGTTATTAATTTTCAATTTTTAATTTCCATTGAAAAATAATAATAATAATAATAATAATAATAATAATAATAATAATAATAATAATAATAATAATAAATTGATAATCATGTCAAGGTAATTTTTTTTTTTTTTTGTGCACGTGATTGTAACAAACGAACAAAAACCACACACACAAAAAAAAAATTTTATTCTTTTTTTCTTTTACTGCAAGAAATCTAATTTGTCGCGCACTTACACACTTACACACACACACACACACACACACACACATTTTTTTAATTTTTTTTTTAACTGAGTAGATATTTTTCGTATTGAGAAAAAAACAAAATCAAGTTTCTGGTCTACATTTATACCATCATGTATCAACTTTATCATTGGGATGGATAACTACTAAATTTGCACCAGGTATTATTATTATTATTATTATTATTATGTACTCGATAGTTAGTTAAGACAAATTTGAAAACACCTTTTAACCGATTAATTATTTTACAGGGGAGCCAACAGTGATTCCAGTCGTACTCAATTGCATAATACATGTTTTAATGTATAGTTATTATTTGATTGCACTTTACGGTGGAAAAGAATTACAGAAGAAAATTATTTTCTGGAAAAGAAGTTTAACCATATTACAAATGGTAATGATGAAGAGTTTCACATGTGATAAAAGTGGACAGAGTCAATTCAAACACATGATAAGAATGGAAAAAAACCTTGAATTATTCTTTAATGTTTCAGGTACAATTCACGATAATAATAGCACACATAGGAAGTAGTTTAAGGAGTCAATGCACAGCACCCAAACCACTCCTTATTCTAATGCTTGTTAACATATTAATTAACTACATAATGTTTTATAAATTTTATAAAAACACCTACAAGAAAAATAAAAAATTAATCGAGTGATGAATAAAAATGTAAGGTGAATTGAAAATTACAGTATTAATCATTAAAGGACAACTTTCGAATCGAATAATTATCTTAAAATAATAAAAACAAATTAATAATACTTCAATATCTTAAAAGTCATAAATTATTTTATTGATTTGATATATCAATGATGCATGAAATAATATGATTGATTAAATCAAAAAAAAAAAGATTTCTGTATGCAAAAAAATCAATAAAACCTGATAAATTTTTTCGAAATTTCTTTTAGTAAATCATTTGATAAAAATCCTAATTTATTTTCCTATTCGAAGAATAAAAAAAAAAAAAAACAAAATGAAAAAGATTGAAATTAACATTATTATTATTATTCGAATACATAAATATGCATGAATAATTATTATTATTTAACATGAAAATTTTAAATTATTCGATTTTAACAAACAAATAACAGACATTTTGTCTTTCGAGATTTAAAAAAAATTTTTTAAATGTGAAACAGGGAAAAACAATAAAACATCACCTGATTGTAAATAATGATAATGACTTGATTGAAAAAAAAATTATATTTGAAAATGAAATTAATAGATTTTATTAATAAAAAAGATGTTTTATTAATAAAATTGTATGAGTCATTCATCTCACTATGTTACTGATATGAATTATCAATAAGTAAATAATAAATAAGTAAAATAAGAAAAAAAAAATCAATAAATGAAAATAAAATACAAGTTTTTTTCTTTTTTTCTATCATTCATTCCATTTGTAAATATTAAAAACAATAAATAATTTCATTATTTTCATCCTTTCCACCCCCTTTTTTTTTTTTTTATTTAATTCAATCATTTATATATATATATTTAATTGAATTGTCCTTGATAACCTTATTTGGATCCACCCTCGAAAATTTTTTTTAAGAGAGAAAAAAAAAGTGGATCAAGATGATAATTTGGTTAAAAAATTTGATAAGGTTAAAAAAAAATTTAAAATAAATATTTAACTAACCGTATAATAAGAAAGCAATCCCGAATTTTCGTCCAAAACAAACCATCTGTGCTGCCATCCTTTCATTACATTTGTCCATTTTGTTAACGGACCTTCTAAAGACGGTCGCGTCATTTTGTTACTGAGCGTCTCTAAGAAATAATTCAAAGGAAAATCGGAATCGGAAATTTATTCAAAGGAACGTATAAATGAGTTCTCCGAAACGCCTGAAAATTTATAAATACACTTTTTGTCATACATTAATGTCACATTGTTGTTGTTGTTTTTTTTTTTGCAGGCGTTTTTACCCGCGTTAAAAAATTAATAATAATTTATTATTTATTATTATTATTATTATTATTATTATTACGTAATGACGTCATAAAACGTTTGAAAAAAATTTTTGCAATAATGATAATTATTGTATTTTTTAAATATCTTTATCGAAGTTTCAAAAGACTTTCTTTAATAATAATAAAATAAAATCAGTTCATCGTATATATAAAATTGTGAAATTATTATTATTATTATTAATAATAATATGTAATCACGTGATAGTATGAGTTATTAATTTTGTATCACGATGTTGGATTTTAACGGTTAATAACCTAAATAAATTAATTAAGTGCGAAATTAAATTTATTTATTTAATTAATAAGAAAAAAAAAACTTATCGTTTAATGATAACAAACCGTTTCGAACGCGACGCTTTAAACCCCCCCCCTCCCCCCACAAAAAAAACGTTTTTTTTATAGAGGGGAAGGAGGAGGAAGAGGTGGGGGGAAAGGTTTATATTTATAATAATAATAATAATAATGGAAAAAAAATAAGGAAAAGTATTTTAAAAAAAATAAAACTTTGTATTTTCCGGTCATTTCCGCACACATAATAATTTGCTGAAAATAAAATAATAATAATAATAATAATAATAACGTAAAATAACTTTCACTCGAGAAATAATAATAATAAAAATAAAAGATGAAAGAGAGAGAAAGAGAGGAAGGAGAAGATTCACGGGGGGAGGGGGAAATGATTTAAATAAACGAATCATCGTTCGTAGTAAGAAGAAGAAGAAAAAGAAGAAAAAGGTCAAAAAGTGCAAAAAAAGTGGATTTTAAAGCAGACGATAAATGATGATGATGATGATGATGATGATGTTAAAAAAAATAATAATAATAATTTCTAATTTCTTTTGTAAAAATCGTTAACTGTTTTAAATTACCATTCGATTCGCCGCCGCCATATTCGATCTCGAAATCTCGATAATGAAAAAAAATAAAAATAACCCGAAAGAATAATAATAATAATAATATTAAATGTATTCATTTTAATTTTTTTTTTATTACGTAACGATCGAGTAGAAAGTCCAGTTTTTATTTTTCTCCAGAGTGCATCACAACAACAACAACAACAACCACAAGTTGTTGTCGTTGTTGTACTTGTTCATCCGTCTTTTATATCTAAAATCTGACATCCTTTTTTAATTATTATTATTATTATTATTTTAACTTTTTTTTTTCAATTTTTCAACGGGAACTTCAGTCTCGGACGCCATTTTGTTTTATTAACTTTTGATTATAAAAAATTTTTTTTTTAAAATGGCCGAAAGTAAAAGAAAAATTTAAAAACCAAAAAGGACAAAACCGGTTTTTGTTTAATAACTTTTCAGAAAATTTTTAATTGTTAGCTTATGGTGGTAAATTCTTTCGAAAAAAAAAAAAAATTTCTAAAAATTTTCGACTAAAATTTTCGACTAAAATTTTGATAAAAAACGTAACAACAATAAAAATATTATTATCATTATCAAAGGTAAAAATGTCCGACATTATTTACTCAACGTAAAACATTAATTATTACAACGGATAAATGGGTGAAAGTTTAAAAAAAAAAAGGATTATAATAATAATAATAAATCCCAAAAACGTTGTCAATAATAATAATAATAATAATAATAATAATAATAATAATAATAATAATAATAATAATAATAATAATAATAATAATAATAATAATAATAACACTACGGTGGATTCATTTTTTGTATAAAACGATGACGTCAAAATTTTTTTTTAAAATCCTCAACAACAAAAAAATTTTTTTCATATTATTTAAACATTTAACGGAAATCAACCGTGTCGTATTTTATTATTATTATTATTAACATCGTTTCGATTTATTTTTAACGGATCCTCCTCCCCCCATTCCTCCCTCCGCCCCCATTTCGTTTTTACCAAAAATGTAAAACTTGTTTTTTTTTTATTTTATTTTATTTAAATCCCCTGAATTTTTTTTTATTTGTTATCGTTCGAGGCGAAATCCCCTCCCACCTCCCACCTCCCACCTCTCTCTTAATTTTTTGGTTAAGGTCAGTTATCTATAAATATAATCATTATTATTATCATCATCATTATCATCATTAAATGGATTTATTATCCAACGGTACAAAAATTATAAAAAAAAAACTCACACACGACCGCACCCATATTAATAATAATAATTATTTTAAATTTAGTAGGTCGGTAGTAGTAGTGGTAGTGGGAGACCACGTGATACATTTTAATTTTAAACGATGACGTCATCATCATCACGATCGATTTGTTTTATAGCAAACAAAGGATGTTTTTCGAAAAAAAAATATAAAAAAAATTGTTATAATTTTCAATTGCAATTTGAATTATTATTATTTATAATTTAATTGACATTTAAACAAAAAAAAAAAAAAAACAAACTTATGTATACATACATATATATATATAATTTTAATAATAATAATAATAATAATAATAATAATGACAATAATATTATTATTAATAACTCATTCACGCCGGAGTTTTTTTTTTTTTTTAATTGTTTTAATATACAATATGATTACACGTTAAAAAAAAAAAAAAAACATGGACGCGTACCTAATACACATACATTCTTCGTATAGATAATAATAATAATGATAATAATAATAATGTTTGCCGTTTCGCAAAAAAAAAAAAAAACAAAATAATCGAAAGAGATAAAATAATAAGAAAAAAGGGGAAATCTCGTATCTGACATTTGTTATAAATCTGAACAACAGAACTTTATCTTCTTCGGGTAAAAACAAGAAAAATGATGAAGTTGTTTGTTAGTTGTCGGTTGTTGGCGGTTGGTTGTTTGCGGTCGATTGCAAAAGATGACCGAAGAGATGAGAAAAAAAAAATGTGGCACACGTAAATAAATTTCACATGGAAAAAACTTTTATTAAATTTATGTAATTTTTTTTTTTTTTTTTTTTTTACTTACGAAATTATTATTACCTGATTTTTACGATGATAATAATAATAATAATTTACGAGAAAAAGAAAGAGAAAGATAGACAGAGAGAGAGAGAGAGAGATAAAAAGAGGAAAGTTAGAATTTTAAAAATTAGAGAAAAAACAAATTCGAAAATAAATTTTTTAAAATTAAAATTATGGAAATCGATGATCGTATGAAATAATAAATAATAATTTTAATAATAATAATAATAATAATGATAGTAATAATAAAGTGGCAAGGAAGAACGAAAAAGTTAAAATTAATTAAAAAAAAAAAAAAAGAAGAAATTATTAATAATTAATGGCAGCTAAAGATAAATTTTTCGGGGTCATCCTTTTTTTTTTTTTTTTTTACTCATCTTTTCCTTTGTTGTTGTTCCTTTTCTATCTCGGCGTAACGGTTTTTGCGGATTTTTTCACACTTCCGGAAACTTTTCCCGTTTCTCTTTGCGTTCTTACCACTTGACCGTGATTAGAAACTTGAGGAGGAACGTTACCGTTTCCCAAATGTGAGGAACCGTGTACGGGTGGATGAGCGTTAACGGGATGCTGCGGTCCACCGTTTGCTCCAGACACTTGAGAAGCTTCTTTGAATGTGAAACTTCCGTTTTGACCATCCGATATATCGTCTAAATCGTCGTTTTCCGAATTTGATTCTGCCACTTCAACAAATTGAGCACTTAATTCTCCGCTTAATTTGCTCACTTTTTTCGTACCGATGTCGTACATGAATATTTCTTTCGATTGATCCGTCGAATTATTTTTCGAACTAAATTAATAGAAAAAAAAAAAGGCGGATTAAATTTTAAAATTTTCTTCCAGTCAATGACCACAAAAAATAAAAATGATTATCTAATGATGTAGTGAGTTGTAGTCGTTGTTGAATAGAGTTTAAAATTAACATAAAATTGTAATAAATAATAAAACTACAACGCAAAATTAAAAAAAAGGCTAATTATTTTTTGTCTTCTGCTTCTTCTTTTACCTTTCAAATGAAAATTAAATTTTAATTTTTTTTAATGACTACAAACGTTATTTTAGTGAAACTAATTAACAAAAGATTTATTCATCAATTCCTTCCAGCGAGTTTAATTATCATTTAACTTATGGAAAATCATTCTGGAAAAATTTTTTTTGTGATTTCTAATGAATGAATTTGACTTACTCTATGACTAATAAAACAACCGATTGTTTGTCTACGGGCGTCCTATTTTCCTTCTCCAGCCAAATCTTATAATTTTCAGCAGTCGGTCTTTTTACCAAAGTTTTAAGAACGTCTCCGGCGACGAAGTGAACGCCTTGAACTTCCAGCACGGGATGAGCCGATCTTCCTTGCGTCACGTCTTCGCCCCTTTGTAAAAATTCGTAATCTACCGGAGCCAACACTACGACGCTCGTGACGTTTTTACCTTTGAGCTCTGGAACGTCCGGAACCGGAAATTGAGCGCCGGAAACTTTTAACGGTAGATATCTGTTGTATCTCGAATCGTTCAAGACCACGGGTTCCAATTGGGTAGCGTCTTGTTGAACGTATTGATTGGCTATTTGAGCTCCTTCTTTGCTGTCCGGATTGTATCGCACAACTTTCATTTCCATGACGCTCGATGGGGGAGGTGCGACGGCGACTCCTTGCGGTTCCGATCCTTCGGCTTCGATGTCGTCTACTTGATCCCGAGGCTTTTTATCACCGAATTTCGGTCTGACTATTGAAGGAACGGGATTGCTACCGGCTACGGCTTGAAAGTTTGCCAAAGCCTCCGGTGGAAGTTTGTCGATTGGAATGTCTCCGATTTTATCGTAATCCAAAATTTGAATGTCAGCATTACCAAGTATGTCCGAACTGAGAAGTTGCTGACGTAAATCTTCAGGCACTTCATCTGGAAGAGCTGCCACGTTTTGTTTTTTCCTTTCTTCTTTTCTCCTTTTTTCTTCGGCAGCCTTTTTAGGATCTTCCGTTATGTATTCCACTTCTGGTTCTTTAGATTCCGTTTTAACTGGTCGTTCGGTGGTTGTCACCGTGGTTCTCGGAACTGTATATTGTTGAGTGATAGATTTTAACGTCGGGCGAAATTGTGAAGGAGGAGGGGTGGGAGAAGCGGCTGTTGGCTGCGACTCGTACCTAGGTTCGGTGAAAGGAAAATCTGGAGAAATGGATTTAATTATTTCAGGTTCGTATTCAGATTGAGGTTTGGGTTGATTGTTTGCAAAATTTGGCTTTTGAAATCCTTGACCAAGGTGCGATGTTGTTTGCAATTGTTGACGGTGCAGTTGGTTAAGTTGTTCGATTTGTTGTTGTTGACGTTGTCGCTGATTGTATTCTTCGATTTCTTTTTGCCTTTGTAATTGATTAAATTGTTCTATTTCTTTTTGACGTTGAATTTGATTTAATTGTTCCAATTGTTGTTGCTGTTGTTGTTGTTGTTGTTGGAATTTATTAAACTGATCAATTTGTTGTTGTTGCTGTTGGTTTTTCTGAAGTTGATATTGGTTATATGAATCGATTGGTTGCTGTTGTCGTTGTAATTGTGTTAAATGTTCTATTTGTTTTTGACGCAGTTGTTGCTGCTTAAGTTGCTCTAATTGTTGTTGTTGTTGCTGTTGCTGTTGACGTTGTTGTTGAACAAATTGCTGGTGTTGTTTTATTTGTTCTAAATGTTGTTGTCGTTGTTGCTGATTTAATAGTGCTAGCTGCCGCTGCTGTTCAATTTCTGCTTGAGCACGCAAAGAATGATGATGTTGAGGAGGCAAAGATGGTGAAGGTTGTGGTAAATTATGGTTTCGTGGAGGATTTATAACCCTTGGTTGTTGAGAAAATGAAGTTTGAGAAACAATGGGACTCGATTGAGAAAATGTATTCGAATTTTGAGAGAATGGAGACGGTTTTGAAAATGAAACTTGTGCGTGAGGAGTTGGTCTTAAAGGTTGTTGGAAAGTTGGAGCAGACGGACTTGGAGATGGCGGTTGAGCTTTTGGAAAACCGTGTTGATTAACGCGATTGCTGATTGTATGGTAGGGTGGCGGAGTCGAGCGTGGGTTTATTTGAAACGTAGATTTTAAATGGGGTTGATTAATTGAATAAACCGTTTGTGTTTGGGTAGGCTGAGGAACCGGTAATTGAGGAGAGGGTTGAGGTGGAGGAGGAGGTGGATGAGAGGGATGACTTCCAGGAAATGCGAAATTTTGCTGTTTGGGAAAATTTTGAAATTGCGGAAGTGTTGTGTAGCGCAAGGGTGCATTGTGTCTCGGTGATTGAGATGAAGATGGAAAATTAGGTTGAACTTTGGACAAATGTTGAGGAAGAGTAAATGGCTGAGGTTGAACCGCAAAACGAGGAGTTTGAGGGAATTGAGGTACTGCCGTAGGCCTGTAGATATCGTTAAATGACGAATAAGATTGCTGCTGATTGTAAAATGATTGCTGTGGTGGAGGAGTTTGAGAATGAAAAGGAGCAGGATTCCTTTTTTTAAGTTGAGACTCGGTATGAACTTTTGAAGCGGCATTGATTTTAGGTTTCGGTGGTAAAAGAACTGACGGTTGAGGAGCGGATTGCTCTTCGTAATTTCCGACAACGTGATGATGAGGATGAGAACCGTAGTGATTATCTTCTTCTTTGGGACCTCCAAAAGTTATATGAAGTCCACTACCATGATATGTTTCCGAATCGGGTCTTATAATGGCCTTTAAAGTCGTGCTGGGCTTAGGAGAGAGAGTGACTGGCTCTTCGTGATGATAATGATGATAATCTTCTTTTTCTTCTTCTTCCTGATGATTATCATTGTTAGTCGGTGGCGTAATTGCTGGCACGGGAGGTTCGTAAACAATTTTTTCTCCTCCGTAGTGAGACGACGGTTCTTTTTTATATTTTACGTAATAAACTTGAACTGGTTCTTTCTTTTTCTTTTTAGGTGGTGGCGGCGGTGGAGGAGGAGCCGGTAGTGATTGATTTGATTCTTTAATAATGATTTCGATTATGGGCTCAGGTTCTTGCGGATAATGATTGTCAAAATAAGAACCTGGTCCGGTGTAACCCAAATGTTGATGACCGCCGCCTAATAAACCATCATCGTACGGATAGATCAAACCGACTTTCGGTGAGATCTTACTTGGCACGCCATAACCTTCGGCAAACGAATCATCCTTTTTAACTCTGACAAGATCACTTTTTTTTTCATCCGAAGATTTTCCTTTCACTTTTTTATCCTCCTCGTTATACAATGGATCGGGTTGAGAATATTTGACCAAGGGTTCCATGGACACGGCATACGATGGAACACCGTTTGTTTTTTTCCCGCTTTTATCGCTTCCATTTGATGAAGTAACTTTTGCACGGGGTTTAACTCCAGTAGCCTCTGCTTTAGCATTACCGCCACGTACAAACTCGTACGGGTGTGAACTTTTTACGGAAGACGGAGGAGTCGTGAGTGCCAACGCTGTCGTTGTCACACAAAACTATAAAAAAAAAAAATAAAAATTTAACGGGTAAATAAATTAATTTTTTTTTATCAAAGCCGTTTTGATGATAAGGAAACTTTCGATTAACGACCTTTTTCCATCTACGGTAAAATCCCGATTAAAATAAATGCAATTCATTTAAAAAATTTCATCAAACACACTTTCAAAGTAATAATAATAATAATAATAATTTAAATCAAACACCGCACTCTTAACTATCATCATCATCATTAATATTTTAACTTTTCGATTAATTACGTACTTGTGAAATTTTATTAAGCGTATATTATTAAAAATAAATTATTGAAATAAATCCACGAAAGTCATTTTGTAAAACGAGAAAATTTACTCGAGTTAAGGTCGTCTCGTTAATAAAAATAAAAAAAAAAAATTACCGGAAATCAAAAAAATAAAATCCGGTATGTAATCAAGTGTGTGCGTGCGTGTGTGCGTGCGCGTTTGCCAGTTGGAAAGTGAATATTAATTATGACGACATTTTAATAATTTCTTATTTAATATGAAAATTTTCAATTTTTTTCTTTCTTTCACCACTTTTACTTTGAAATATTCTAAAATAATTTTTTTTTTTTCAGTTTTTATTAATAATAATAATAATTACGACCGATAAATATATTTACTATTATTATTATTATTATTAACATTTTCCGTTACGTAAATATTATGACGACGAATGGAAATTTTATCAATAAAATTTAAATTTAAAAAAAAACAAGCAAAAACAAATTGAGTTCGCATTAATTCTTATATGTATCAAAAAAAAAAAAAAAACGTGGGATTAGAATAATAATATAAACGTGCGGGTTTATATATTGAAAATTAAAGTAACGTACAGAGTATGAGGAGATCGTAATAAAACATTATTATTATTATTTTTGACACCGATGTAACTTTCACATGATTTTTTGTTGTTGTAGTCGTTGTATGGGGAGAGTTTAAATTGAAAATTTCACCAAATCATCTTCCTTCCAGTTATCATTATCATTAAAAAGAAAAATAAAAAATAAAAAAACGGTTTCGAAGGTCAAATCCGGACTCGAATATTAATTCTTTTTAAAAAAAAAAATTTTTTCTTTCCGTTTCCTTTTACGTATTAAAAAAAAAAAAAAAAAAGTACTTCTTACTCGATAACCCGGTTTTTTTCCCCTCCCCCCATTCTTTTTACTATTTAAAAGTGAAAATAATTTACCTATTATTATTATTATTATTAATAAATAAGAATTAAGTAGAGTAGTAATAAAAAAAAAAAAAGAAATGATTTGTGACAAATCATCATCATCATCATCGTTAATTCGTTGTTTTAAAATGTTTTTTTTTTGGTGTTATCATTCAATGTTATCCGTGTGATAACAACCGACACCACCTTTCACCTTTTACCAAAAAAAAAAAAAAACTTTCCTTATTAGGTAGTATCAGAAAATTTTTTTTTCCCACGGTCATTTTTTTTTTTTTTTTTTTTTTTCTTTTTAATATTAGTTACGTCAAAAATGACACGTTAAATTTCTTTTTTTAACGAATCAAAGATTACTTTAAGTGATTGATTGATTGATTGATTGACTGACTGACTGACTGACTTATTCGTTATATAAAAAAAAAAAGATTTTTAAATGACCGCCGCCATGTTTTTTTTTTTAAACAGAAAACTAATAAAACCGAATCTCTACATTACTCCACATTTTATTTTATTTTTTTTTATATCGCGCCTTACGTAATTTTAATTTCACTTATATCTAAATTATTTATTTATGTATCAATAAGTAAATCCATAAATAAATAAATACATAACACGATCCTTATATTATCGATAATAATAATAATAATAATAATTTTTTTTTTTTAAAACGAGTTAGTTAAGCGAATTGAGGGTATTCGTATTATTTTATGGCAAACTTACTCTCGATTACAAAATTATTTATTTCGCAAAATTAATAGTAATAATAATAATAATGATAATAATGATAATAATAATAATGATGATGATAATAATAATATTTACGAGCGTTTACGCTGCGTTAATTTACAAAATGATGCCGTCAAAAAAAAAAAAAAAATACAATTAAAATTTTTTAATCATCGTCATCGTCATCGGCGTCATCATCATCATCATCATCATCATCATCATCATCATTATTATTATTATTATTATTATTATTATTATTAATATGAAAATGTCAACAAATTTTCACGTTTGCAAAAATTCTAATCTCAACGTAAATCATTTACGAAAAAAAAAAAAAAAATTTCCCTCGTCGTCGTTTGTAACCGACAACAAATTTTTGTTACGAGATTAATTTTTTTTTTGGCATTCTCATTTAAATAACGGTAGCATTCGCGATAATAATAATAATAATAATAATAATAATAATAATAATAATAATAATAATAAAAATAATAATAAAAGTGAAAATTATTATTAAAAAAAAAAAAAAATCCTTGAAAGAAATTACGGTAATCATAACCTGACAGGTCAAGTGTCATTAATTTAATAATAATAATAATAATAACAACGTCAGTCAGCCAAAAAAAAAAAACTGGAGAAATAAAAAAAAAAAAAAAACTGGAGAAATAAAAAAAAAAAAAAAACTGGAGAAATTTTTAAAAATATTTTCTCCAGTCGTCGTCGTTTTATATTTTCTTCTGCTTTTAACCGTCTTCCTCTTATTATAACACAAAATGTCAAGTTTTTACATATACGTATAATGAGTTCTTTTTTTTTTTACAAAAGAAAGTGCGCGCGCGCATTTTCCCGCGTTTTTTTCTATTTAACGCGCGTAAAAAGCAACGCGCATTCGTCACAACCGATATGAATTTTAAATTTATTATTATTTGAAACGTGTATTTATTGGGTTGGCAAATAAATAATTACGAATTTTTTAAGAAAACAAAAAACGATTTATTAATTATGTCAAATTATTTTTATCTATTATATTATGTTTATTATTATTAGTGACCTTTTGACATTTTTCGGGTGGTATCATTTTCCTTTTTTTATACAACTCTTTAGTTTTAGGAGCAAAAAACTGCTCCAATGCAGTTTTGACCTCATTGTCGTTTTGGAATTTTTGTCCGTTTAAAAAATTTTTTAGGAATCGGAAAAAATGATAATTATTTGGAGCTAGTTTGGGACTATATGGAGGGTGCAGCAAAACATTCCAGCCTAGCTCCAGTAGTTTTTGTCCAGTGGCTAAAGATGGGGAGGGCCTGGCATTATGGTGGTGAAAGACAATTCCTTTGCTATTGGCTAGTTCCGGTCGTTTTTCTTGGATGGTATCATTTAAATTTGTCAATTGTCGAATGTAAACCTCTGAATTTATGGTCTGACATCGTGGCAGCAGCTCAAAGTTGACTATGCCTTTGTAATCCCACCAAAATGATAACAATACCTTTTTTTGGTGAATGTCAGTCTTAGAAGTTGTTGGTGCCTGTTTCCTTGCCTAAACCAGGATCTTTTTCTCAAAAAGTCATCATAGACAACCCACTTTTCATCTCCGGTGACCATTCTTTCAAAAAAGAATCATTTGCATTGCGTTTAAGAAGCATATCGCAAAGACAGAGTCGCCTCGTTAACTAACGTTCCCCAAAGTAACGCATCAAGCTTCTTATGGCACCCAAGATGCCGCAGACGGTTTTTGACGCACATATGTGACTCATCTAGCTTTTTTACAATGTACTTAGTCAAACTATGCCGATCATAATCAATGAGGGCGTTTATTTGCTCATCTTTAACCTCCAATTGGCGCCCGGAGCACTCCTCATTTTGCAAAGAAAAATCTCCAGAACGGAATTTCGCAAACCAGTTTTGACACTGCCGTTCTATTAAGGCTTCATTCCCCTACACGACCCACAACTTTTTATTGGCCTGGGAAGCATTAACACTCTTTCAAAAATAAAAAAGTAAAATGTGGAGGAAATGCTCGCTCTGGCTCCCCATGTTTAATTATCTTTTGCTCGCGTACTATTTAAGAGTTCAATGAAATTTTGGTACTGAATGTTACAGAAGGAACCAAGTAATAACATATCAAAAGTTCATGTCTGTACAAAAACGTAAACGTACTCAAAAAAAATAACAAACTATCTGTTGGTAAAATCCGCAGTTACTTATTTGCCAACCCAATAATTATTAATGAAAATAATATGACGTGTCATCACGATGAGCGT